GAGGAGCGAGCTGGCTGCCCGCCGGCTTTTTTGGCCAGCTGACCGGCGGGAGCTTGAGAAGGACCGCTGGGGGAGCCCTCCCCCGCGGTCCTTCCAAAGCCCCCGCCGGTCAGCTGGGGGAAAATGATTTTGCGATCGCAAAATCCGAATCGCTATGCGGATTCGTAGTTAAACGGGGTGCTCGTTATGTGAGGCACCACTGTATGTAGCATCACTACATCCGTGCTGTAGATTCGTGCTGGCGCGGAGAAGCAGCGTGGATGTGGCCAAACACACATAGCAAGAAGATTTGAAACATTTAATCTACATAAAGTGTTCTGAAAGAAAAATTCTTTCAGGCATCCTTCATGAAATGGTAACATTTGCATTAGCCTTACGTCTAGTAGGAGTACAACATTTTTTATCCTTGGTATATAACTTGACTTTCTGCTCTTCTTGGGGTATTTTATATCAGTCTGGAAGAGCCACAGGTCATGGAAAAGCCTGGGTTATCAACAGCAATGAGGTACAGTGATACTTTGTCTTACGACCATAATCTGTTCCAGAAGATGGATGTAACTTGAAATGGTTGTAAGTTGAAGCACCATTTCCCATAGGAATGCATTGAAATGCAATTAATCCGTTCCAGCCGAAGAAAAGAGATTACCAAAAAAAATCACTACAAGACTCATTGGAAACGCGATTAATCCCTTCCAGCCAAAGGGGGAAAAGAAAAGAAAAGAAATCAAGCATGCAAGATGCATTGGAAATGCACAGAAAAGAAATGGAGCAGATCGGAAATGCACAAAGGGGGCAGGTTGGAAATGCAAAGAAAACAAAGGAAAAAGCAAGGGGAGAAGCCCCCCAAAAAGCAACCAAATCCTCCAAGAACCATCGGAAATGGGGGAAAGCCAACAACCCCTCAAGACCCATAGGAAATGGGGAAAACCGCAAAAAGCAACCAAACCCCCAAGACCCATAGGAAATGGGAGAAAACCCCAAAAAGCAATCAAATCCCCCAAGACCCATCGGAAATGGGGAGAAGCCCAACAAACAAACAAACAACCCCCCAAGACCCATCGAAAATGGGAAAAACACTCCAAAAAGCAACAAAAACCCCCAAGACCCATCGGAAATGGGAAAAAACACTCCAAAAAGGAACAAAAAAACCCCAAGACCCATCGGAAATGGGGGGAACCCCCCAAAAGACCCCAAGACCCATCACAGTACAGAAACATAACCCCCCCAGCCCAAAACCACGTTGCAAAAACACCCAGAACAGTTTTTAAAAAGCAAAAAACAGCACCTTACCTTACCAGGCAGCCCAAAGCCTCCCTGCAAACACACACACACCCTCATGTAGAAGCGAGCCAGTCCCAAGCCTCCTCCCACACATACTCTCTAACCGTGGGGGCGAAAGAGCTACAGAGAAGCAGCCTCCTCGCCACCTATAGTTAGAAATTTGAATTTCCTGCTTTTTTCCCCAGCCTTTTTCTGTTCAAAAGTGGAAGCTCCAGTCGCAAGTAGAAGCAAAATTTTGTGACCGGAGCTGGTCCTAACTCGAAATGGTCATAAGTAGGGACGTTCGTAAGTTGAGGCACCACTGTACTACTACTGGTACAATTCCCTTGGAGGTTTGTGAGGTGGTGACATGTGAACGGGCTTTTTATGTGGTGGTCCTAAAACAGTGGAATTCTCTTCCTTCTTTCAAGTTATCTCTAAAGTCTTCATTATATAGTTCCTATTGACAACTAAATATGCTACTCTTTACTCAGGTCTGTGGAAGTGGAGTAAGAGTGAGGATAGCATATTATTTTGCCAATATTTATACAGTGGTGCCTCACTTGACTACGTTAATTCGTTCCAGCGAATCGGAAACAGCAACATTAAGCGGATTCATTGTTAAATGGGGTAATCGTCCAGTGGGCCATGACTGTATACATTGTCTTGGTACCACAAGGTGAAAGTTGGGATATATCTTCAAACACTCATGCAAATAAAACCTCTTTTTACTATGAAAGTACCGAATAAAATATTTAACAGGCTCTTTCAGCCTATTTTTTAAAGGAAGATTTTACAAGATTAAGGTCATTTCCTTTACTTAGGAGAAATCCATATCCATTTTTACAACACTGGAAGAGGAAAGATATGTGTTCATTATCTTTGTATAGGATGCCAGTTTAACAATGACCAAAATCTTGTTGTTTAGTGCAAGCCAGATTGTAACTTTTGCTCCTGTTCCTACTTGGTAAAGAAACTGTTCCTGCTGCGATTCTTGGGTACCGTCCTCCTTGAGAACTGTAGCAGGGTGTCGTTTTGTTTACCAGAAAGGAAAGGACCAAAAGTTACAGTTTGGCTTACGCTACGTAATAGGGTTTTGACCAATGAGTAGAGAGTAGTGGGTTGCCTCTTCGTCTTCTCCTACACCCCTTTCATTACCTATTCACCACCTGCTCTATTCGCCATCCCCCCATCTTAGTCCTGTCCTTGCCACGAGGATGCTCTTATATAATGGCATTTCCTTTCATGCTATCCAAATTGTTTACTCCTGGCACACTATTCTCCATTTTGTCAATCATCTTCCACCACTGCCCTCCTCCTTGAAGCAGACACCTCAATTACTCCTGCCCTGCACTTTCACTCCTCCTTCTGACAGTTTGTCTCCCCACATCCTGCTTCCCCCATAGCACATATCAAGTCTCTACCTAGTAGTGTTCCAACCAACCACTGCCACTTTTAAATACTTCTTCAAACCCCACTCTGCAGCTCCTCCTACTCCCCAACCTTTATCTGATGCATCATCATCACTCTATTCCATAATAGTAACTTCAATGCACAGTAGTATCTATGCAGTTTCTCCATATGATGCACATAAAGTTTAAAAAGCAAACACCAGTTCACTCCATTTCACCTTTACATGTTTCTTCTTGAAGGCTTTCTCATGTCAGTGGTGAGCCATCTTTAATTAAACTTGTAAACCATAAGAATTGCTTCAGCTACAACTCCACACAGGTTGCCCCTATTTTTATGGAAGGACAGGAAGCAGCAGCATCCACTCTGATTAAGTAAGATTTGCCCTTACCTGTCTGAGCACAGTTTCACCCCGCAGCTGCTGCAAATTTTCCAGATGAGAGTGAAACAGTGGGCTGTGCAGGAGTTTCACTTCTAATAATCCCTCAATGATGTAGCCAATGGTGCAGTCATCAGGGAGGCGAATCCTCTCTGCAGTGCTGATGAAGCTCCCAAGGCTGTCCAAGACAGGAATCTGAGAATGAAACCCTCGGGGTTCTATTAAGGTTTGGGGGATGCGAACAAATTTTCCAAGCTGCACATACCTAGCCCAAGGACTCATCTTCAGGGCAAGGCCTCTGCTGATACAGAATCCTGCACCACCTGTGGCAAACCAGAACTTTGTGGTGGTCTAGCAAGACAAACAGATGCATTAGGAAAACTGAGCCTTCCTTTTTGGTCGGCTGGACATGTCAGAGCCTATGCAAGTAACAGGAAGCCTTAGAATGCTCAGTCTTCATATATACAAACACTTCTAGCTGATCTGCTCAGACAGATTTACCATGATGCACATTGCAATCTGACAGGAGGAACAATCAGTTCCTGGTAAACTTTTATTAGCTCCAGACAATGATCTGACATCTAAGAGAGCCAAGGATATTGAGGGGAAGAGTTCAGGTCCAGTTGTATGTCAGCTGTTTGACTGATACATATTTACAACTCTTCATATTATAGGACTGAACTGAGTTCAATGGTTTAAGTACATATGGGACCATATCCCTGTTAATATAAATGCTGCATGACTGCAAGACAAAATCAGTAGTTTGCAAAGCTACAGAACAGAGGGTTAATGATTTCACTTAGGCAATCATATATTACTTGTTAACAAACAATGATAATTCACATACTGTAATTGTGTATTTCCTGACGAACGTAATATTCTTAATAAATTCTTTATTCTTTTCAAAACAATTGCACTCTATAGTCTTTAGCATCTACAATTCGTCTGCACCCTACAATTCACGATGTTTCCCAAACTTGGCAAAGGTAAGTTTACTGTGCACCTTGTGGTTGTCATGTGCCATCAAGTCAGAACCAATTTATAGCAATCCTCATAGGGCTTTCAAGGTAAGTGAGATATTTAAGGATGGGTTTTACCAGTTCCCCTATCCCAATGAATTTCCACGGCTGAGTGGGGATTTGAACCCAGGCCTCCTGAGTCCTAGTCTGTCACTCTGTTCACCAGACCACAGTAGGTATCCAATGTGCATCTTACCACATTACAAAGATGAAAGTAAAGATCAGACTTGCCTTAGTTTATTGCAGTTCTGCTTGATAATCTACATCAGACAGATTCTCTGCAGTGCTAACAAAATTAGAATGTAGCAGGGCACTTACATGAATCTGAAAGATAGAACCTGCATGCAAAAGAAGAGGCCTCTCCTTCCCTAGGACAGTTCTGCAGATAAGCTAAAAATAACTAGCCCACACAAACATTTACAAGTCTCCTAGGAGCTGGCAAAGCAGGAATTATGACATGGGCTTCTATTTTAACATATGTGTTAAGGAAGTGTTCACTAATCATAGTCAGATTGGAAAAACCTGGCCATAAGCATTGAAGGAGGAAGACACCTATAGTAAAGTGAATGAGAACTCAGAATGCAAAAACTTGATCAATTTGAGAAAACAAAAACCCATGCTTACTGATCCATCATTGCGGACATCGTCCGCTGCTTCAATGGGGTGGTCTAGACTAGGTCTTCCCACGTAGACATCCTGACTGTGTGAAAATGCTGATAGGAGACGTAGGAGATTTTTCAGATTCACATAGTTGTCATCATCCACATGACAAAACCACCTGCAGAAAAGTAGGTGAGATACCAGTATAGTGGTGCCTCGCAAGACTATTGCCTTGCGGGATGAAAAACCCACAAGACAATTGGTTTTTGCGATCGCTATGGTGCCTCACAAGACAGTTTCTTCTATGGTCATGCTTTGCAAGACTTTGTTTCCCCAAGACCGATGCCTCGCAAGACAAATAAATTTCATTTGACTTGCGAGGTTCCCATAGGGAACCTCACAAGACAATTTTTTCGCAAGATAGCGATTCTCGCGGAATGAATTACATTTGTCTTGCGGGGCACCACTGTATAGGAAAGGCCACAAAGGATTAAGTATTAGTTGTTTCAGTGTCACATTCCCTTTGAGAAAGATGTCTGCTTTTAGAATCAAAGAAACAAAGCAAATGCTTCTCAAGTACATATATCATTAGATCATGAGCAAATCACTTGTTTTTGCTACCCAATTCTTCAACCAAATATGACTGGTTTTTTTCATGCGCATTAGAAATTTTTAAGGTACCTCACACTCACTCGCTGAAGCAAGAAAGAAGAATTTCAAGATAATTAGTAATGAAAACAATAGCTTTCACTTACTTTCGTCCAGACTCAAGGAATTTATCATATTCCACAGACATTTTACAGCAGAGAGCTTGGCGAGTGTGAACAGCTGAGCAGTTGGTATTGATTACATGGTCCCCTACAGAAGAAAGACAATTAAACTAGGTAAGCTGAATAATTTATAACAGAAATATGTGGACCTCACACAAGAAGAGCCTTAGGGTACATTCAGAAATTGAATACACAGACAATACTAACAAGGCAAGCTCCGGACCTTGCACAATGGGAATCAGGCCATAAGACACATGAACTACTGAACATGCAAACATGTTAGTCTTGATCCAAAATCATAAATATATGTTTCCCCAGTGTTTCTTTGGTTTTCACCAGGAATAGATATTATAGGGCAATAGCATGTGCATATGGGATGAGCACATGGGGCAGCTATGGATAAAATCCTGTAGTTATACCTATGAAAGGGAAACAGGATGACTCATAGTGACTTCTAACAAGAAATTAATGAGTCCCTGCATGGATTTCTGGCATGTGTCAACCCAACAGGCTCCTGAAAGTGCAATATGAATCTCATTAATTAACAGAAAAAAGCCTCTGTGAGTTACACTGTTTGTCTTTTGCAGGCATAACTAAGCAAAGGATTTTGGCCACTGCATAAATACAAATGATGGTGTGCATGTGTGTGTGAAAGTTGAACATATCTATCTCACTATAAATATACTTGCTATAATGTCCAGAAATTTTGAAATCAGCTCACCTGCACGAAGACGTAGCTCTTGGTCTTCCCAGTCTGTGAATATAAATGTCTGGGGGGCGGGATTGAAAACGAAAGAACAGTGGTCACTTCCTGAAGACTTAAGAGCATTGCCAATATTGGTTTTAATAAAACAGTATGAGAGAGGGTATGCTATTCGTTCCCAGAGGTCTCAAGATAATTAAAATTGGTGTCTGGATTTAGAAAGTATTAAGATTTATTATTGGATGCAGAGAGCATGAAATAAACCATCCAATACTACACATGCAGTAGCCTCATCTGTCATCTTCTCAGCCAAGTAAAAATTCTACCAAAACAAAGATTTAGGATTTCACGTTCCCCGTTAATTGTATTGTATAACCAATACATCTATATAATGATCCTCCACATGAGAAGAGATTCTGGCCAAGTCAGGACTGCTTCATAGGATTCCTTCATGCATAGAGATGTAAGTATATACAATTCCTTTTTACATCTACTGAATGTGGAGACACACTGACCTCCAGATACAACAATAATGAAGAGTGGAGCCTGCAGCACCTGACATCCATTCTCTCTCACACACACACTCTCTCTCATCTATTGTGAGCATGCTTCAAAATGAGACAAGAGACAGAAATGCCTGTACTAGAATGACCTTCATAACTAAACATAAGAAGAAAATTCAATTTAAATTTTAGATACTGTACCATGGCAATGCATGGAAATAAAACTTACTGTTCCTGTATCACTTATGTAACACTCAAAGCCACCCCAGAAGAAAAATATTATTGCTGATTAAAAGAAATTCATTGTTAAGAAATATACTATTTTAACCATGTGGAATGTGTGTTCTTACCTCTCCTTTGGCCTGAGAAATCCACGTTTGGAAGAGCAAATTTAGCCTTGTTTTATGATATTTCCTTGTTGTTTTGACAGCAATGAAGATATCCTTCAATTCCAGCTTTTCCATTGCAGAAATTTCAACAGGTTCCCTATCGTCTCTCATCACGTCATGCACTGGTTTACTGGGCTTCTCATTTCTATTTCCACTAGCTTTCAGGCTGGCTCTCCCAGTATCTATGATATAATTGCTCCATTCTTGTAGCAGCTCCTCTTTTACCAATGGCATTATATTGTTAGCTTCATCATCTAAATGATCAACTGAGCTGGACTCCACCTGCTGTAGCGGGGTATCACTCTTGCTTGAATCATTAAAAACAACCAGGGGACGTGGCTGCAGATAATTCCCAAATCTCCAGCTAGTCTGGAATTTGGGGAGTAGCAAAAGGAGAAGTGCACAAACAATAACTGACAGCAGAAAGCAGATCTTACTGAGCCTAATGCAGGAGAAGCTCATTCTTCAGCCCCAAGGGCTTTTATCATACTATAAAGCTGGATCATTGTTTTCCAGCTGATGATTATGCCTCTAATAAACAGATTTGTTCAACTGTGTATGAATTAGCAATGTCCTGTTAATTTTCCAAATATATAGCAGCATCTTTATAGTACTAAAATAACTCTGAGGATGACAAATCTTTCAATTTCTGATCTCTGGACTCATCATCCTAACAGGGTTGAACCTCTTTTTTATTTGAGAAAAAAACCCTCAAGCCACTGTACATCTTAATTTGCTTAGACAAAAGTGAATTTGAAATGGTATAGCAATCATTTTGAGGCTAAATGTTCTAAGAGGACATAAGCAAAATCAAGCTGGTTTAAAATCAGCCAGCTCTCTCTAGAAATAACCCTCATGTGCTACCATATCAAATTTGATTATAGATTCTTTGGCTAGATACTGAAGCTGAAAAATTGTGCGTGCTTTATTATTAAGATACAGTTGCTTCTTATTTGTGTGCATTATCAGCACACCATTTATATCTCTCTTCAGAAGGTGTGGTACAAGGATAACTTAGCTCCCAAGAGCTGAAGATTTGCTGTTCAAAAACAAACAGAAATTTAGACATAATTATAGCATAAACTGAACATAGCTCAAAGTTTATAATATTTAAAATCACAAAAACCTTTCTATATCAAATAAAAGGAACAAGAAATGAGAGTAAAAGCAGAATCCTCATATCCAAACCACAATTATTCAAAACATCTTGCAAATATTCTACAAATTTCTATCACACAGACTCACAATACTGTTTACTTATAAAAACTGTCCATATTTTAGAAGCCAATTGTTCTGTACAATCTGCTGTTGCATTTGCTTCAATGTCACAGGGGAACAATAAAGATGAACAAAAGCTTTTTATCTACAATTTTCATGATTTTCTTTTTCATCAATTAAAGGCATATTATGCCAATGGAAAGTTACATGCTGCACTGGCTGCCTATCCATTTCCGCATTGAATTCAAAGTTCTAATGCTTATCTATAAAGCCCTAAATGGTTTAGGACCTCGATACTTGGTGGAGTGCCTGCTCCCACCAAGATCTACTCGGATCACCTGCACGAGTCAGGAGGTGAGGCTGAGGAGCTTGACGCCGAAGGAGGCCCGGAGGGAAAAGACTCGAAGCCGGGCCTTCTTGGCGGTGGCTCCTCGCCTTTGGAACAACCTTCCTCCGGAGATTTGCGAGGCCTCTACACTGGGTACTTTCAAATGGCAGCTGAAAACATGGATGTACATCCAGGCCTTCCCTCCTGTCAACTACTGATTTCTTTTGTTTTGCTATTTATTATTTATTTATTCCTGCACTATTTGTTATTGTTGTATGCTAATGTTTTTATGTTTTTTTAATTGTTTTGATATTTTGTAAGCTTCCCAGAGTGGTAGAATATACCAGATGGGTGGGATATAAATCTAACAAATAAATATAAATAAATACATAAAATACATGGTGTGGTATTCAAGAAAAGGAAAGGACCACACCAAAACCATGTAGTTATGTCAAAACCTCCACTAATTCCATTATTTGTTGATCTATACACTTTCACAGAATGAACTGGAGAGAAGCCTTTCAATCCTGCATGTGTTACTTTGAACTTCCCATAGAGATGTGTGTGAAAAAACAGTAAGCTACCATTCGAGTTAATGAAAAATGAAGTGCAGTACTACCAACTGCACGCTCAAGGAGCCCAGAAGTTTCCTCTTCACAACTGGGAAAACCTTGCAACCAACGTGACACATGCAAAGGAAAGTCTTGAGTCTCAAGATGTATAAAAAGTGGTAGCAATGCAAAAAGCCTGAGCTTTTCAGATCAGAATAAAATTTGCACTGCGACCACTTTTTATACATCTTGAGAGTGGGTCTCCCTTTTGTACTTTTGTCCCCAGCGGACGGACCGGTCCCCTCTGCTTTGGGACACGCAAAAGAAAGACAGCAGGGCCATAGCTGGCTCCCTACTCTTACAAGACAGGAAGCCGGTGGAAGTTTACCAAGAAGGAAACCCCACGGAATGCAACGAGCCATCAGCAAGAATTCCTCCCAGTGACTGCAGAATGGCCAAAAATAAAGGCAAGCACTGGCTGCGTTTTAACCAGGGGTGTACGAATAACTTGTGAAGGACGAACAGGGCCGCCTTGCTGCTTCTCTTGAATATGCTCCGCCAAAGGCCTCCCGGACCCGGACGCAGTAGTACAGTACAGTAGTAAGAGCCCGTCCCGACCTCCTGGGTTCCCATAGCTGGTTGCCGTGGGAACGCCATCCTTTCCCCACCCCAGCCCGTCACTATGGCAACAAAGATACGGTCTCTTGGCATCTCCTCCTCTCCCCCCCTCGCCCGCCCGCCCCGCGCGCTCTTTCTCCCACCGGGAGAACGTTGCAGGCATCCCTGCCTCGCCTCGCCTCCCGCCCGCCCACACGCACCGTCGCCAAGGGAGCTTTTGGGGCGGAGGCAGCAGCAGCGGGCGCCGTCGCGTTACTCGCCGGACTCCCGGGTGCCTCGGCGCCAGATTTAGAGCCACCACCGGACCAAACCGCCGGAGGTCGCCGACGGGGCGAACGCAGAGGGGACGACACGGAAGGTGCCGCGGCCCCTTTAAGGGCTTCGCCTGTCTGGCGGGCGAGACCCGATCCCAGAGGGTCACCCGGAAGTGGAAGCGGGCGGGAGGACGCGACCCGGAAGTGCATGGTGTGAGGGTCAATATGCCGCTACCCGTTCAAGTCTTTAATTTACAGGTATCGAGGAAGTTTCAGGGGCAGGTTGGGGTTTTTTTTTCCCCCCCTCCGGAGGGTGTGGGTCTGTAGGGCCAGTTGGGGAGCGAGCGCTGTGGGTGGGACCCATTCGTTGCGGCTGCCGAGGACGACGACCGTGCTCCTCTGTCTGGCTCAAGAGCGCGTGTGTCATTCGGGGTGGCCGGGCGAGGCAGGGTCCTTGAAGGAAGGGGGCCTAGAGCCGGAGAGGCAGGACAAGGAGGCTTAGGCCCGTTGCCTGGGCTCGCAAAGCCCGCTGCGGGCTGAGGCGATCCTTGTGCCTTTCTCCTCTCCTCTCCTGGCCCCCTTGTCGAAGCCTTTAGGGTGAGCTCCTGAGGCGTCCTTCCTGCAGGACGTCCTGGCGCCCCTGCCTGGGGGAGTCGCTCCCTCGGGTTTTCTATTCTGCGGGCATGCAGTGCGCAGAGTTTTCTTTACCACGAGATTTAAAACATGTTTTAAATTATTGGTTTCTTGACGTGAGGTAGAGGGGGCTTGTTTTCAGGCTTTGTAAGCACTTTTGGTGTTGACTTCGAAGCTATAGAAGTACTGTATGCTCTTCGTCCAAGGACTGTGAACTTAGGATACAACGTGCATCAAATAAGTCAGTCTTATGTTTTTAAATGATCTCTTTTTCTTTGCTTCACCTGCCCATATATCCTGACCTATGACTATGGATTATAATTTAACTACTGAACTAGTAAAGAGTTGCTTGACACAAGCATGAAATAACCATGATGGTAATCTTCGAATTGCAGAGCTGGAAGGGATCTTATGGATCACTGAGTCCAAAATGCTGGTTCACTGTTGGTTTTGGATCTTGTACTCACATGCAGGTTTTGGTAATCAGAAATGTATTTTCTTTGGATGCTGCAAGAACTAGGGAGGGTTTTAAAGGTGTTTTGTTTTAAGTGTATACCAGCTATTTTGTGTCTGGAATATATTTGTCTTCAAAGACTAGTATAATCAAAATCAACAGAGACACAGCACTACAGTATATTCTGTTATCTGAGAAATCTGAGAAAACACATTAAAGGAGATATACCTTTTTTGGCACTCAAAAATCTAACTACCAAGTTGCACGTTTCCTTTTCAACATGCCCTATTTGGTTTTTCATTTAAATTGAGATTTGCAAATTGGTGGTTCTATAACATACCAGATCCGCAGGGGTATTTGCAAAATAGGATTTACAAATTGGTGGTTCTATAACATACTGTACCAGATCCGCAGGGGTATTTGCAAAATAATGTTTTTTATTATAAACCACCATGTACATGTACATATGTATATCTCTTCTATTATGCACTTTTGTTTTGGCAGGCACACATCCCAGCTGATATTTACGTTGAAATTTGTGGATTGGCACTTTAGAAAATAAGATACTAGATTAAAGTTTTTTTTCTTTCAGAATACTGTGATGAATTGGAATAGGATATCCCTGAGTATACAAACATCTGGCTCCATGAAGGAGCTAAGGCTACAATAAGTTCAGTGTTAACATTTCTTTTCCTAATCCTAACATTTGTGCTAGTTTATTGACACATTCAAGACACACATTCATTTTTTTTCCTAGAGCAGTGGTTCCCAACTTTTTTGAGTTATGACATACACACCCCTTTATAATAGCCATGTAGCCTGTGACCCCTTCTGTTACATTTGCATAAATAGGCTGTTGTCGTCATTCCTGGACATGCAGCACCATTGATGCTGCTTGTCCTCCTAGTCTTCCTGTCACCAGCTCTGCTGCCACCACTTCAAGACTGAGGAGGGAACAGGCTGAGGGATGGTAAAGGCAGGGAGAAGAGAAAGCAAAAAATGGGCCAGGGGGAAGAATATGCATTATTTGCCAGGGAGGGTGCAAAACCTTCACTCAGAGAGGGTCCCTCTCTGAAACTGGCATGAACTTTCCCTGCACTCGCTGCAAAATAGGTCAGCCATTATGTCCCCCTCCTAGTGGTTTGTTTTGTGTGAATTTTTTCCTTTTTCCTTTCCCTCTCCTCCTTTAGGCTCTCCAGAAGTGATGTTCCATAATTAAAATCCTTTTCTTATGGAAGTGGCAGCAATTATATGTTTATACTGGCATTTCTTTCCTTTTGTTTGTTTGTTTTTGTAAAGGAGAGTCCACTGGCATTTCTTTCCGTTTGTTTGTTTGTTTGTTTGTTTTTGTAAAGGAGAGTCCCAGTCATCCCTTCTCAGAAAGTAGAGGCTTTCTGCGCCAAAAGGCCTGTCTCTTATCTATATACATTCACATTGTTTAATATTTCACTCCAATAGATCGAGGAAAAAAATGATTTGACAAGCTTATAACACATATAAAGCGACCTGCGACGCCCCCCCCAAAATACTTTGTAACCCCCAGTTTGGAAAACACTGTCCTAGAGACTTCTTCATCTTCTTGTCTGTACTACTTAAGCTTATAGGGGAAACTTTGACCAAGTTTTGTTTTGCACCCAAGAACCAGTTCCCATATCATAGTTTTCTTTGGTAACCGTAGAACAGCATGGAGAGATAAAAACTGCAGATGCTTTCTAGAAAAAAATATAGATTTTCCTGTTTTGTTTACATTATTTGTAATTTAGTAGGCACTACTCCATGCCAGTGTTATCTTAGAATTTGCTGATCATCATCTGTTGAAAAGAAAACGTGTAGAAAAAAAGGAGGCTAACATCTAGTGCTGTGAGAAACAATGTCTTTATTGATTCTGTTAGAGGGAAAACAGTAAATATAACCTCCTCTGATTGTGGCTGCTAAGATTCAGCTCCCAAAGAAGATTTCCTTCCAAGACACACTGAGACATTTCTTGTATCTGTAAGAACATTTATTTTTTTCTCACAGCATAAGACCTTGGCCTCCCTCTTTTTCTGTTTGTCATAGGTGCTGATTTCCCCTCCTTTTTTGACATCATCTTTGTGTTCAGTCTTGCCTTTCTAGAATTCACTCATTGTGACAGCTTACAGTAACGATATGTGATGATATATATCGGAAGGTGGGGGGTTGGCTCAGTAACAGAAGTGTGAAATTAATGAGGGCCTGCAACAAAAGCAGAAGAAAGGCAGAGTGTATTGTTTTAGTCCCATCGTAAGTGAGAGTTGTTTATGACTGCAGAGGCATTAACTTCCTTTCTTTCTTTAGCAGCCGGCGAGCTCTGTGTCAGGGCGAGGGGGTACAGAGAGTCAGGACAGGATGAGGGATAGTTCAGTTCCGAGTTCAGCTTCCTCGTCAGTGACAGATCTATACAACGCCCCCCGCAGCAGTAGGTCAGACCTCTTCCTCCCAGGTACATCTGGAGACTTCAGCCTGAGTGCCTGCTTATCAGCCTGCACCCTGTTCTATGAGGTATCTCAAAGGAGAAAGCGCGCAGGGGTTTTGAGTAAAAATGACTTGAGTTTTATCAGCATTGAGGCATACTTGTTTTAAGTACCTAGTTAAGATACTAGTAGCCTGCTGTTTTAGAGCATGTAGTGAATTACCATACCTTGGGTGTGGAATAGGGATTGGTACAGGCCAAACTTTTCACAGTGGTTGAACATTTTGTGTGTTTATTTGAAATATTTGTATCTGGTGTTTTCCACTATAATTCACAAGGCAGATCATTGCACATTTAAAACAGTAATGTGTTGAAATAGTATTGAAATATAAAAAATAAAATCCATGAATGGATTAAAACAGCAGCGGGATCAAGTCAGTCACTTTGAGCCATGAAGCCACCCAGCCTGACTTGGCCTCTAAAAGACCTGTGTGCTGCTTGAATGGAAATGGACAAAAGAGTTGCACTGATGAGATGGCACCACTGGGAGGGTTTTCTCCCGGGGAAGAAGCCACCTGCCCAACTCACCTGAAAGAGCATGGGCATCCAGAGTTGGGCCTTCAGTGAAGACCTAAACAAGGGGTGGGTGAGTAGGGATGGTGGCAAGAACGTATTGGACCTCAGAAACTTAACTGTGGCCTACACCCATTCCATTACTGCCACCACTAACAAATTTGCTGCTACAGTGCTGGCAATAGTGAAAGCCCACACTTTTTCCCCTGGAGAGTAAAGCACATGGTGAGTTCTTGCCATGTTTTAAAGGAAAGAAAGGTAATATTTGTACTGCATTGGCAAATTTGGTGGTGGATGCAGTCAGGGACTTTTATGGGAAGATGCCATCCCCCACAAGGATGAATGGTCCTGTATGTATCACAGAATGCCAAGCTTGACCACCAGACTCTCTCATGTGGGAGCAAACCATCTTCTGTATGAGAAGTCTCAGTCTGACTAATTATTGCTGAGGGATCTAAAACGTAGTGCTAAAAAAACCCAAATGTTTTTGACCGCTATTCTGTTTTGTGAAAGGCCATAGGATAGTAGTAGGGCACATGTATTCACAAATTCCTGAACCCAGGGCCTGGCATCTCTAGTTGAAGGACCTAAAGAAGCAGCTGTATTGGATCTACTGAGATTTTGGGGAACTGTCAGTCAGAGTACAGCAAGAGTGGAGAGGCTGTGACCCTCTGTAAGCTGTTGGACTCATCAGCTGTATCACTGTAACATGCAAAACTGGGTATATTTGGAGAATTTGTCATCTCTCTCTTTCTCCCCAATCCCTGACTGGCATGGGAATAAAGGAAGAAATGATAAATGTCCAAAAGATATGGAAAGAGTCTTGATTAAAGGCTCCAGATAGATGTCTGCTGCTATCCTCAAAATCTATAGTTAGTTCCTGGTCTTCTTAATTTCCTGTGAAATCTTAGTATTTGTTTATAGTGAAGACAGAGAAGTTTATCAGCTTGAGTGGAATCTCTTTTGCACACACATACAGATACATGGCTCTCCTAGATTGGGTTTTCAACTTATCTTCAGAAGGACTGCCTCAGAACTTTTGTATGTTACAAAAGATGTTCCTTTTTAGGCCTTCCTCATGGCAGCATGTTCTAGAGTGCCTACGTAGGTACCAACTACATGTTATTATACACAGTGCAAGTCATGGACATAGCAGTCAATTGTTTGTACGTTTAAATAGCAGCATTCCTGGAAGCTTGGGGCTTAGAAAGAAGGCAGACTGGAGTGCTAATCTTATGCATTTGTGACCATTTTTCCCCTCCAAAAATTTGTTCCACCTCTCCCCACCAGCCCGGTCTCCCTCCTTGGGCAGGCTTCCAGGCATGTGCAGAGTCAGGTGAAGGGTGAGCTGTGCAACTGGAGAGCTGCAGGGAGAAGAATGCCTGGGACAGAGAGACACATTTGAGTTCCTTCCCAAATGTGTGCAGAGGGTTTAAGTAGCCTTTCCTGCTCTGCTTAAAATTAAGAAAGGCTGGTTTTCATGAGGACCAACAACCTTCAGGGCTTTTATTACATGCCTTCTATGCAACCAAAAGTTTGCCCTCCAGTTCGTGGAGGCAGTAGTCAGGCTCGCTGGGCTTCCCTTTTGTTTTCCATAAGCCAAGAGTGCAGCTCATTTGCACTGCAGAGAAAGAGGGGAAGTATCGGGCCAAGGTGTTTTTCTCTTAATCCTCATTGAAGACCTACTGATAAGCTTTCAAGTAACCACAGACTTTTGTACAGCATAGATCATGGAGTGACAATGTGAGAAAGTTATGGTGTTCCTCCTCTATTGGTGGTCTTCACAGAAGCATTTGATCGGCCACCAAGGGATAAGGAATGGATGGGCATTTCGTTATATCTGGCAGGGCTCCTCTTCTTTAAGGTCTTGGTTTGCTAACTGTGAGAGAGATTTGACAATGGAGACAACCGCTCTCTTCATGATTGTGGCTGTTCCTGGTCTTAAGGATGTCCAGACAAAATGATTGACTCCTTTTCAGTTCATTCACCTTCAGCAGATTTCAGTTTTTAATTGCATTTCTAGCCTTTTTCATGACTGTGCTGCATGATTTACATGTATTGACATCTCTGTCTTGCAAGGTGATAAGAATGAATGACAGGGATTGTGAATCTGTGTACATCTGTGCCACATGAACTTAGGACTAATAGTTATAGCTTTGAAATGGATAGTAAATAGCTCACTACCACACCAACCTGATGACCTCCAGATGGGTTGAACTACAGCTCACCTTTTCTAGGTGGCTCTCTTAGCTGAGGATGATTAGAGTTGGGATACAAAACATCTGGAAGGTGCCATGTTGAGAGACACCCCCGGCAAGCCTGCTACCCTAGGCAGTCTCATAAGTGACCTGCCCATAAACACAGTTCTGATAGGGACAATACATTATTGTAAGAAAAAAGTATATCTGTGTGAAAGTTGCTGTGTACTCAGAATGTTAGGATGTTTCTTTGAATTCTTTAGGTGTGTCAGTGATCATACTACAAGGAAGTGTTTGGATTTGATCTCCAAATCTTCATATAGCTTGAGACAGATATACCTAAGAACTTGTCCATGTCCTGTTACAGTCTTTTAAGTTTGGAAAGGAAGATTATGCATTCTAGTTTTATGGCATTCCTGCTGATTTATGAAGCAAATCTTCTCCACCCCAACAAGCCAAAGCATCTTTTCTTCTTGAGATGGCTTTTGAGAGTCAACAGTTGCACTTAGCTCTCAGTGGGATTATGGTGATGCAGAATCAGGAAAATTAACATTATTTTCAGCTGTTTAATCAGATTTTACTGAGCTATAATAGAATTCTCCATATTTTTTATATGCCTGCTCAGAGATTTCAAGATAGGTAGAACTTTTTCAGTAAATAAGTAGATATAACTTAGTTTGCTAAATCTGCTTCTTTCCTAAACACACAACTCTGTTGGCCTTTAGTTTTTCTGAACATGTTATTGTGTGATGACTTTATTAGGAATTGATAAATACCTAGCAGTTAATGATATGGTGGAACTAAACATCTGTAGTTTTGCCATTTCTTTCTGTGATGCCTGGTGTTTAAGAAATTGTAAAAAAAAAACCTGTGTTTCTCACCTTGAGAAACCACTATGGATCAAGAAATAAGTTGAGTGAATTGGTAACTTGAAGTGGGAAGAAACTCCTGGTAAGCCCAGAGAAATAAAGTCAAGGGAATAGAACACCTCATAACAGACGTTAGGAAGCAATGCTAGGATCACTAGTTGTGTTGTATCTGATGGGACATTTCCATCTCTTTCCTGTGGGGTAGGGCAGGAGCCACCTAGTTTCTGTTTCATGTACAAACATTGCTGTTTGCAGGGTGCGGTAGAGCCCATGCAGATTGATGTCGACCCGCAGGAAGATCAGCAAAATGCACCTGATATCAACTACGTGGTGGAGAACCCCACTCTGGTATGTGATAGAGGGCAACAAAGACAATCCAGAGCAAGACTGTTTAGACCTAGCCTGCTAAAAACCTAGATTCTGGATCTGTTATAAATGTAAGCAAATGTTATGCATATATACAGATAGACACATGTATGGACACTCCTGTGCAAAACTCACATCTACCTGTGTATTATACCTTTCGTACCCTTGATTGTTATCTGCATTGTTTGTTTCAGCTGTCTGAACATTTGTCATGAGTTCAGATGCTACAGTAAGCAGGAGGCATGGAATAAGAGGAAGAGAAATTTATGTTGGTACTGAATGGAATGTTGGGGGGGGCAGCTGGACAAAACCATGTCCCAGATTTTTCTAAGTGACATAGCTGAAGCAATCTACAATTCTCTTCCTTATAGCCACCAGCATTTAAATCATATTTCTGTCTAGTTGTTTTGAAAAACAAACAGTGGTTCTGAAATGCACGATGGAAGGGCTTTTGAATTGTTCAGAGAGGTTTACATTATTTTATTGCAATCCTTACAATGTCCTGATCCCCATACTGAAGATGGGAAGAAGTATGTCAAAAGAGGATCACTTGCATATGGCCAGCTGTAAGTTGATTGCAAGTACAAGATTTAAATGGGCAAACTGCTCTTAAGCTGTTTGCCACTGGCTGAGATCGTAACAGTTCCAAAGAAGCTGTTTGGTGCTGTGCCTGAAAGCTATAAGACAGATGAGATACACCAGGCGGTACACACAGAGTGGCCTGGGTATGTTGTGAGATCAATGCTGTTAACTTCCCAACCATGTATTACTCTGCTCTTAGCTCTTTATGAGGCTTCCCTTTCCTTCCCTCAGTTGATCTTGAAGCAAAACATCTCTGCAGGATTGCCTGTGCAGAATGATGAAAGAGAATAAGTGATCCTTTCAAGTTGATTCTTTTACTAAGTTGTTGCAGTGTCTTAACTGGCTAATTGTCAATAGTGTACAGGAACCAATGAGCCTCCAAATTTGAAGAGTTACTATATCCTCATGGTCCAAAGTTCTTGCTGTTCTAAATCTCTTATCTTTAGATACCACAAGCTCTGTTTCCAAGGCTGAGACAGGCACACATCCCTAGCTCGGGATGTGTCCTATACCTCCAGCAGTGGAGCAGAGGGAAGAATGTTTAAATGTGGATGTTAATTTGTGCTAGACTAGCCTTAGTTGTTGCATTTTTCCCATGAAGTAGTGTGATGTCAACCAGCACATTAGTTTTGCAAAGAGCAGAAGACTTGGCATGCATCTACTATGCAGTTTAGAGAAAAACAATGAAAATGTAATGAATACAAAACTTAAGCCATAGTAATAAAGGTATATAATTTCATCCCCTTTAAGGCAGGGGCAGACAGCTGTGGCTCTCTGGGTATGGATTATACAATGTTCCCGTAATCATAGCTAGCAAAGGCAGTGTGGGCTGCAGTCCAGCAACATCTGGAGGGCTTTCAAAATGTTTCCTAGTGGCTGTGAGAGACAGCAGCTGACGAGGAAATGATCCCCCTGGGAATCAAATAGTTCCACGATCACTGGACTTACATTCAAGGAGATCTATCTTGCTTATTGAGATACATCACTCTCCTGTGAATGATGCCATCTGTTCCTTCTTGGCCATTCAGGATCTGGAGCAATATGCAGCAAGCTACAGTGGCCTGATGAGGATCGAGCGGCTGCAGTTCATTGCTGATCACTGCCCACAACTGCGCGTGGAAGCCCTCAAGATGGCTCTCTCCTTTGTCCAAAGAACATTCAATGTTGATGTTTATGAAGAAATTCACCGGAAATTGACTGAAGCGACCAGGTACTAAGAGGAAGGAAAATTCTGAGGGCTTCTTTGGAATGCATAATGCTGGAAAGGAGGCCTCTGATGAATGAGAACCTCCATACTGTCCAAATGATTCACATAGTTTTCAATCTGACCAGATGAGCGGGATATAAATCAAATAAATAATAATAATAATAGTTTTCTTGCGTACTTGCTGATCTTTTGGATTTTGACTTTACAAGGCAATGCATGTATCCCATCTAAGGAAAAAGAGCATGTAGGGGTTTTCTCCTGTTGCTTGCTAAGCCGAACTCTCCATAGTTGTGGATGTCTGAAAGAGAAGGTATAGGAAGGGGAACAGCTTGGGTGGAAATTGAAATTGGTGTAATTGTGATACTCTAGACATTTTATGAACTCCACTGTATTTTCTCTTATGTCATGTAACAGCTTCCTCATCCTAGTCATAAAGCAAGGTAGTCCCAATCCCCATTTTGCCTTCTGCCGGAGCTTTTAAAAAACTCATATTCTGAATCAAAAGACTTTCTCATAAGATCAACATATTTGTCTAAAATATTTTTACCTGGCCTTTCTCCTTAAAAAGGACTCAGTACAGCTTACATCTTTAAAAGATGATATTTAACACTAAAAACAGTTCATTTTATAAATACTTAAAAGGATCAAACAAATACCACACTGAAAAGTGGCAGGCAAAAGCAACACCAAAGACACATTCAAAGCAGTAAGGCACAAAATAAATTAAAAAAACTTCACTTAGTCAGCCAGTCACTGGGGGAAAGCCTGTCTAAAGAGAAAGGTCTTCTTATGAAGCCAACCAGATTGCCTTTCCTGAAGGTTGCTGCAACTGAACTGCTGTTTCCAGATTGCTATTGCACTCCATAACAATTGGTTATGCCCCCCCCGCCTGCAATGCGGGCACTCCATTGTCTGTCTTGTGCTTTCTTTACAGAGAGTTACAGAACACCCCTGATGCTGTCCCAGATGGAGGGGTAGAGCCTCCTCCTCTAGACACAGCGTGGGTCGAAGCTACCCGCAAAAAAGCTCTACTCAAGCTGGAAAAGCTGGACACGGATCTGAAGAACTATAAGGGGAATTCAATCAAGGAAAGCATCAGGTGATCTGCAAAATAATGTCTAGATCAGTAAAAATTAATTCTAAAGCCAATTCCAGAGTAGGATGTTCCATTGCAGGGTGCTTCCTAGAACGATTGTGTAGATTTGCAAACACACGACTGAGACAACCTCCTGGTAGATAATGCCCTCCAAGACACTTATTCATGCACACAGCTTTGACTCAGAATGGTTCTATATGGCTTTGTCCACAGAACCATTCCCAAAGCTGCTTTGTGGAGGTCAGATATGTGGGAAGTCCGAATAGCTTCCTGCTTGCTCCAGTTCCACTCTTGATAGATTATGCTATTATACTTGAGATAGATTATACTATTTAAAACAGTGTTGTGAATCTCTCTCCTACCTGGGTCATTTCTGTGGAATCTGCATTAGTTTACTTTGTGGCGAGCTTGAGAATATTTTTCAGTGAAGTAAATGTGCAGAAGGAAACAGGATATCAAAAGGTGGAAGCTTTCTAGCAGGGAGTATTGTTTCAGAAAGGACTGTGCCTATCAAGGTTTAGTCTCTGGCAGTGGTCCTCGCTCTGCACGTTGTCAAAATCTGTTGGAAACATATGTATTCTGATCAGTGGCCAAGCTCCTGAGGGGATTCTAGTTTTTTAAAAAATGTCCTAAGCTTTGTCCCTGATTAAAAATGTAGTTTCCCCAGAGCATGTTATCTAGCAGCTGAACTTGTTGAGCTTTGATTGAGCAGTTTTAGGCTGTGGAGTGGTGGTTGGTTTGCCTCCTTGCTTATTCTTTGTCATGTTCCCTTTTTCTAGGAGAGGCCATGATGACTTGGGTGACCACTATCTTGATTGTGGGGACCTTAGCAATGCCCTCAAATGTTATTCACGAGCCCGCGACTACTGCACCAGTGCAAAACATGTTATTAACATGTGCCTGAATGTTATAAAGGTAAAGAGAAAAATACTGTACAACAGTGTTCAGTTTTCAGGGAGGGGCACACCAGTGGCATTTTTCTTCAGAATACCGTTTTATCTCAACACATAAGCCAGCCCTGGGGAACTCACCCTTCTTTTCTTTCCCCTCTTCCAAACCATGTGTGATGGTCTGCCCCTCAGGTGGCTAGGACAATCCCTGAGGAGTGATGCCTGGTTCACAGAGACATAATACATCTAGCGGGACCTTTCCTTGATCTCAGTTCCTGTGGCACTATTAGGGTATTCTTGTCTTTTTGTAGGTCAGTGTTTACCTTCAGAATTGGTCCCACGTCTTGAGCTATGTGAGCAAGGCAGAGTCCACACCGGAAATTGCAGAGGTAGTAACTTTTTTACAATATGTCTATTGCCACAACCCAGGTCTGTGCCTTTGATTTCCTTTCCTTTTATTCTTTACAGTGGTATCTCACCTTTCCTCTGTGGAATTCATTTTTCCTTCCAAGTTGTCCTGTGACATTGTGAGAAGGCAACTGGCCCAAAATCATGGCTACGTGTGGCTTTGGACCTATTTGGACTCATTTCCTCTGACACTCTTAAGTCCTGTACTAAACAGAGACCTGGATTTATATCATGGAATCCTTAACAAAATCACACTTGGGCAATACTGTTATTAGGAGCAACCTAGTTGCCACAAAATGCCTTTCAAGTTTTCTAAATCACTTTGTTAGTTCAGCTACTGCAAAAAATCAGGGGACAGGAGTAAAGTCGAAACACTGGGTCTGAAGTTGTAGTCATGACATCTGTGCTAAACTCAGTGTCAGGATATATTGTGGATACACAGTTGGCTATAGAATCGTATCCAGAGGGTGATGATTAATGACTTCTTTTCAAACTGGGTGGAAGTAACAAGTGTGGTACCCCAGGGCTCAGTCCTGGGCCTGGTACTCTTCAACATTTTTATTAGTGCCCTGGATTGGGAGGTGTAGGGAATGCTAGTCAAATCTGTGGATGAGACAAAATTGGATGGAAGAGCCAATAACCAGGAAGACAGAAAGAAAATTCAAAATGATCTGGATAGGCTTGAGCACTGGGCTGAAAACAACAGAATGAAATTCAACAGGGATAAGTGCAAAGTACTGCATCTAGGAAAAAGAAACCAAACACACAGTTACAAGATGGGGCATACCTGGCTCAGTAATACTACAAGCAAGGAGGATCTTGGAATCGTTGTAGGTCACAAAACTGAACATGAACCAACAGTGTGATGTGACTACAAAAAAAGGCAAATGCTATTTTAGGCTGCATTAACAGAAGTATAGTCTCCAAATCCCGCAAGGTATGAGTTCCCCTCTATTCAGCACAAGTTAGGTCTCATCTTGAGTTCTGGACACCACACTTCAAGGAGGATGCTAACAAATTGATAGGGCAACAAGGATGATCAGGGGGCTGGAGACCAAGCCCTATGGTGAAAGAGTAAAAGAACTCGCCATGTTTAGCCTTGAGAAAAGAAGACTGGGGGGAGATAGGATAGCACCTGTCAAATACTTGAAAAGATGTCATATGGAAGAGGGGCAGGATCTGTTTTCGATCATCCCAGAGTGCAGGACATGCAACAGTGGATTAAAATAACAGGTAGCCAGATTTTGATTAAATATCAGCAGTAATGCAGTGAAACCAATTACTTCAAGAGGTGGTGAGTGCTCCAACACTGGAGGCATTCAAGAGAAATTTAGATGACCACCTGGCAGATATTATGTCATACGGAAGAGGGGCAGGATCTGTTTTTGATCATCCCAGAGTGCAGGACATGCAACAGTGGATTAAAATAACAGGTAGCCAGATTTTGATTAAATATCAGCAGTAATGCAGTGAAACCAATTACTTCAAGAGGTGGTGAGTGCTCCAACACTGGAGGCATTCAAGAGAAATTTAGATGACCACCTGGCAGATATCCTTTGATTTGTATTCCTTCATTGAGCAGGGAGTTGAACTTGATAGCCTTATAGGTCCCTTCCAACTCTGATGTATGAATTTCAGCCAAATTAATGTGTACAGAAAAGGAGCAGCAGCCATTGATTTGTCAGCCCAGAGTGAATTGATGAGCCAATGTGATTAATGCAGTAACCTGCACATTTATTGTTTCAATTCATTGGACACCACATACTGCAATTTAACTGCAAACATCATGGCTTACAACATCTGGCCTGATTTTTAGGACTTTTCTGTTTCTTTCCTTTTCCTGTGTGGTTGTTTTTTTGTTTTTGTTTTTTTACCACCTAGTCTGATGATGAATCCTGGAGAATTTGAAAAGGACTTTTGTGGCATTTTGATTGGTCCTAAGAAAGGTTTGCGGTTGGCCCAGTTACCTTGTGTTTCTCATTTGTTCTCCAGTTTGATGGTCTCCTTGTCCCATCTTAGACCTATGTAAATGCCTCTAAAAATTAATCAAGCTATGCTTTCTTATCTGGGGTAGTGGGAGGGCTAGAGCAAAAAAAAAAAGAGCAAAGAAATTCATCCTGGCTTTTGAGCTAAGGATGGTTCTAGAGGTCCCCCTTGTCCAAGCAAAGCAAAGACCTCTTTTCCTCATCCCCTCCCACCTGGTGATGTGTTGTTGCACACATGTTCCTGCTTGGGAGCTCTGATTGAGGCCATCCATTTTTTAGGATGAGTTGCTGGTGCCGTGCTGGGGGCTAAGGAGATGGTGCAACAGAAGGACATCCTCAGACTAGAGAAGGGCTCTAGCTTAATGGAAGGAATTGGCTGGAAAGCTGCCACTCATTTGTTGATTCTCTTCCCCTCTAGCAAAGAGGAGAACGTGACAGCCAGACGCAGGCAATCCTCACCAAATTGAAGTGTGCGGCAGGTGAGTGTGTAGTTTGCTTGCTTCATGGATGCCACTGGTCAGACATGTTGGGTGTAAGCAGTGTATTAAACAGGCCTCCCCCAATTTGTTTCTTGCCTGTTCTACTTTTTTACCCCAGGGTAAAGACTGAAGTACAGCATCAGTATTTTAGTTCCCTCTTCCCTAGAGCTGTGAGTAGCTCCTCCCCTAGACTTTTGTGTGATCCTTGTGCTGTGTCTCTCCCAACTCATGTCCTTAGTGTCCTGGACAAAAGACTAACTAAGTCTGGTTCCTAGGCTTGGCTGAACTAGCTGCCCGGAAATACAAGCAGGCGGCAAAGTGCTTCCTGTTGGCCTCGTTTGATCACTGTGATTTCCCTGAGGTAAGGAGGAGGCGAATCGGGAGGAAGGGGTGTGTGTATTTTGATCCGAAGGAGAATGCTATGCGTGATCCCAGTTGCAGCAGCTTCTTCATTGGTCCTCGTTTAAGGAAGAATACATTCTTAAATCTGGCCCAATAATTTATCTGTAGAGTACTCCTTACTCCTTCTGAGTAAGACTACTTAATTTTTCATTGCCTATAACTGTACTTGAGGTACTTTGAATCTACTGTACGTCCTGTTCTCCATAGGTTCCCTTTCCTTTTTTCCCTTCTAGCTGCTCTCTCCTAGCAACGTCGCTGTCTATGGCGGCCTGTGTGCACTCGCTACCTTTGACCGTCAGGAATTGCAGCGTAATGTCATCTCCAGCAGGTGAGTGATGGGTAGGACCTTGGGAGACCCATGAACCTGCTGAACCAATACCTCTGCTAATGGGACAATCTCAGGCATGGCTGCTCAGATCTAGTTTATTCCGCAGTCTTTACTCCCTGGTGAGCACAGGATTGCATCCTTCCCGTTCTGTGTCTTGTTGTCTTCTGGAGGAAGGTGCATGGACCCCCGAGCAGGCAAACTGCAGATGAAAAACGACTGGGCAGATGTTCCCCTCTACTTCCATTGTCATCTCCTGAAAAAAAAAAATGAAAAGTCAGAAGAGAAATTCATAAAACTGCCCAGGCCTGAGTAAGACTGGAGTCTGGCTTGACATGCCTTTCCATGTCAGGATATGAGCAAAGAACAGATATCTATAGTAGCAATCTATGAGCTCTTTTTCTTTGAAATGACTTAAGAAACTGCTCCCTTGGAAAGGGACATGCAGCCCATGGGCATTCTCACTAGAGAGTGCTCTCCAGGCCTGTTTGAGGGTGGCAGTGGCCGTGGTAAGGAATAGATGATGCTGGATCCTTGACTCTTACTCTGTTTGCAGTTCCTTCAAACTCTTCCTGGAGCTGGAACCGCAGGTGCGGGACATCATCTTTAAGTTCTACGAATCCAAATACGCCTCATGTCTCAAGATGCTGGATGAGATGAAAGTAAGTTCTAAAGATCTGAGCCCTTGCTGAGTGTCTTGGGAAAGGGATGAAGGCAGTGCTTGTACTGCTGGAATTAAAAGCACTTGCCTGTCAGACCAGCCTGCTCTTGGAATCAAAGCATCAACAGTGTGACTGAGTGGCTGAGTCAATGGCAGCTGAACGCTGCTTTGACAGTACATGGGTGCATCTGGAAAGAACACTGGGCTCGTGTGCTCTCTCCTCTCCTGACACATTCTCCTTAATTGATTACTTTCTTGCTCGGAGCAAACAATAATTTGCCATTAAGATCATAACACAGACGGTGGCTTTCATTGGCCCAGCAAAGAAGGATAAAATCCAGGTCTACTGTTCTGATTTACAGGGCAAACCATAGTGTGCTGCTTATATGGGCGGAATGGCAAGCTGTGGTTTTCCTGAAAGTAGAAAGTGACCAATTCAGTGGAATGTGAAAAGGGAAGAAGGAGCTCTTAAATAAAAGGTCCATTGTAAGCTTTTTTCACTTAATGGCAAACCCTGGTTTGGCTTTATATCTGAAACAAGCTGCCTCTTCATGTCGCTACCTTGTTACAAACTACTAACATACTAATCTCAGAAATGTAAACATAGAGGGAGAATTTAAAGCACACACTCATTTTCTTCTCTCTCTGTCTCATAAACTGAGAAGGAGAGAAAGATAAATGTGTTGTCGGAAAAAGCTCTTTATTTATTTTAGCCTTGCTTGTTGGCCTAAAATCACATTATTTTGCTAGTGAATTCAGTCATCTACATTTTTCATTTGCTTTCTCCTGCCAACTCCCTTTGCTTCTTTCATTACACTCTTGCCTTTCAGAAACAACTAAATGGAAGGAGCCAGAATCACTTCTGCCCCCTCCCACCTCCTACAGGATATTGCTTGCATCCAGATCGATCTTTAAAAGTGCCTTTGTAATCCCTGCTCATTAGGTCTAACACTTACCATCCATCAATGCTTATTTTCCATTAATATTGTTACTTTCAAATAATAATAATAATATGGTACAAACTGAGGAATACATCTTTTGCTGTGTGAAGCTTGCAGTGAGCTTCCTTTTGTCATTTTCCCCCCAACTTGATTCTCTGCAGGATAACCTCCTACTGGATATGTACCTGGCACCTCATGTGAGAACACTGTATACCCAGATCCGAAATCGAGCCCTCATCCAGGTAATCGCCATCCAAATAATGGCTTTCCTGTTGTTGTGATGAGATTCTCTCCTTCTCTTCTTCACTTAGGGTCATGCAGAGAGTAATTAATGTACATTTTCTCTTATTCTCAGTATTTCAGCCCCTATGTGTCGGCAGACATGCGCAAGATGGCCACTGCCTTCAACACCACAGTGGCAGCTCTGGAAGATGAGCTCACTCAGCTGATCCTAGAGGGGCTGATTAATGCCAGAATAGACTCTCACAGCAAGGTGAGCTCTCGTCTCACCCAAACTGATTTCTCCGCCTGTCGACAAAACTTAGTTCGGGAGAATGGACTGAAACCTTTCCTCTGTTCATGGCTCACAACTATAAATGGTATTTCCACCAGGTTCACTCACGTGTTTCTGGGCACAATTCAAAATGCTACTTCTGACATTCACAGCCAAGGTTGGCCTGGGTCCAGGCAGTCTGATAGACTTTTATCTCCTCACGTCAGCTTGCCCATACCTTGAATTCTTAAGGGGGAAGCCTTTGTGTCAGTCCAGACATCTTCACAGCATATTTGGTGAGGCTGTGGGAAAAGGCCTGGTAGGTGTCTGCTGCTGGGCTGGGCCACTACCTTCTGAGGGAGACTGGGGTGGGCCCTTCTGCACTCTTCAAACACTGACAAGCAGAGACTGTTTTATTGAGGCAGATTTTTGGCTGTGAAGTGGCTGTTGAGGAAGGTGTTTTTAATGGTGGGTGCTTTGTGCATATATATGCTTCTGCTTTAGCATAGCTTAGTAGCTTAGGTATTTGGGCTGCAGAGACAGAGGTTGGTTCGATTCCATGCTAGGCCTCCATGACTGGGGCTGCCCTTCGTGATCCATAGGGTCCTTTCCAGCTCTGCAGTTCTAAGATTATATTACATTATATATTATATTAATTCAGTGCTTGTTTTTAATATGTTAATTTATTTAACTATGCTTTTATATAACTAACTAAATTGCCTTTTAAACTATCTGTTTTAATTCCTGTTGTAATCTGCCTTTGGTCCTGCATGAACAGAAAGCCAGCAAACAGACAAATCATTTATCTCACAAAATATATTCTCAAAGGCTTTCACAGCTGGGATCCAATGGTTGTTTTAGGGTTTTCGGGCTGTTTGACCGTGTTCTGGAGGTTTTTCTTCCTAACGTTTCGCCAGTCTCTGTGGCTGGCATCTTCAGAGGACAGGAATCAGAACTTTCTGCTCTGGTGAAGTTTTGTGGGATAGTTATATATAGCTGTGGGATCAGCTTTTTGTCCTTTTCAGGATAATGGGTGATTATGGTGATCAGCATGTTTTTTGTTGTGGGTGTATTGTTGTGATAAGGGGGAGAGATTATCTGTCACTGTGATTTATGGGTGTCGTTAGCTGGTCTTTTGTGTGCAGTGATCACTGGTCCTTGTGGCTGGGTAGAGTTCGTTGACCTTTTGCACGCTGTATTTTTGAGAGCTGGGAGCGAGGCTTTGTTGAGTTTAGACTTCCTTCTTTTTTGTTGAAACACTGCTGGTGTTTGTGGATTTCAGTGGCTTCCCTGTGCAGTCTAACATAATGATTGCTGGTGTTGTCCAGTACTTCAGTATCTTGAAATAGAATTTCATGTCCAGCTTGTTTCAGGGCATGTTCAGCTACTGCTAATTTTCCCAGTTGTTTTAGTCTGCAGTGTCTCTCATGTTCTTTGATTATGTTGTGGATGCTGCGTTTTGTGGTGCCAATATATACCTGGCCACAACTGCAAGGTATCTGGTATACTCCTGCAGTGGTGAGGGGGTCCCATTTGCTGACCGTAACATTTGTTGTATTTTTGTGGTGGGCCTGAATACTGTTTGTAGGTTGTGTTTTTTCAAAAGTTTCCCCATGCGGTCCATGACCTCTTTGATGTATGGCAGAAATACTTTATTTGTGGGTAGCTGTTTTTCCTTTTCAGTTTGGTGTTGTTTTCTTGGTTTGATTACTCTTGTGATTTCATTCTTGGAATAGCCATTTGCCTGTAGGGCTCAATTCAGATGGTTGAGTTCGGTGCTGAGAAATTGAGCTTTACAGTTTCGATTTGTATTGTTTACCAGTGTTTTGATTATGCCTTTTTTTTAGTTGTGGGTGGTGGTTGGAGTTTTTGTGTAGATGCCGGTCTGTGTGGGTGGGTTTTCTGTAGACCTTGTGTCCCAATAGGAGGTCAGGTTTGCGTACGACCATGATATCTAAGAAAGGGAGTTGGCGCTCAATTTCATTTTCCATGGTGAATTGTATATGTGGATGGCTGCTGTTGAGATGGTTTAGAAATTCCTCCAGTTTTTCTTCACCATGGTTCCACAATGCAAGGTGTCACCCATGTATCAGAACTGGACTATGGGTGTGAAGGGTGCCGAAGCCAGGACCTGTTTTTCGAAATGTTTGCTATAACCAGGCTGAGGGGGCTCCCCATGGCCACTCCATTTGTCTGTTCATAGAACTCGTTATCCCACTGAAAATAGCTGGTCGTTAGGCAGTGTTGGAAAAGGAGACATCAAGGCCCCCTTGGCAACTTGACCTTTTAAGCTCTCCAACTCCAGTATTCTATGATTTGAGATAAGAGGCTCCTAGCACTAGCATTTAGGAAGAGTGATTCAATGTTGAGAAAAACATGCAGACAAATTGGTAGGAATGTTTATTGAAAGGAAATCCTCAGCAACATCTGAGTTTGAGGGGGATGATGCAGTAAAAGTCTCTTCTGAAAGCATGCTTGTACTCTCTAATTTTTTAAAATTTGAAGACTCTGTTCAATATTTGTTCCACAAAGATCCATGCCCTCTCTTCCTGCAAATTGTAGGCTCTTGCTTTCACCGGTGTTTGTGTGGCTTCTGTACAAATCCTGTAAAGGCCCTAGCTCTTTCAACTTTTAATTGTTTTGCAGATTTTATATGCACGGGATGTCGACCAGCGCAGTACTACTTTTGAAAAGTCTTTGTTGATGGGGAAGGAGTTCCAGCGTCGCGCCAAAGCTATGATCTTACGAGCAGCTGTCCTGCGCAATCAGATCCACGTGAAGGTCAGCCAAAAGCCCCCTAAATTTGAGACTGGGAGTAGTTTTACTAATCCATAGACTGCTTTGATACATAGATAATGTAAAAGGAAGATGGTTTGTTGTGTGAATATAAAAAAAAGCTTTATGTCCAAGCTGGTAGAAGCCATGAGAATAAGCCATTCCCTTGCATGTCTTGTATGCACCTATCCAGTGTCTAAGTCCTGGCAGGTCACAAATAGATTAGACAACTTTTTCTTCTCTTCAGAAAATATACCTGGATGCTTCAGGATAGGAAAAATAATTTCTGCAGCCACTGCAATAATTAATAGTAAAGGAGAAGAGCTTCATTGATAGGTTCACAAGGAAAGTGCAGGCTCTTGTACCTTAATGAGGTGCTTGGAAACTTATTTATTCTAAATATTTTTACCCTGCTTTTTCTTTAAAAAGGGCTCAAGATGGCTTACATAATTTAAAAAGACAATATTTAAAAGCTAAATATACTATGTTATTCAAATATTTTAAAAAGAATTAAATAAGCGCTATATTAAAATGTTAGATAAAAGCATTACTGAAACAGATTTAAAAGCAACAAAAAATTACAAGCCATCCCATTTCTCTCACACATTCAGTCACTAAGGAAAAGCCTGACTGAAGAGAAAGCCCTTTCTCTCCTTGCAGGACAGAAAAGATGGGGCCAGCCTGGCCTCCTGTGGGAGGGAGTTCCAAAGTCTGGGAGCAGCGACAGAGAAGGCCTTCCCTCGTGTCCTCACCAAACCCATGTGCGAGGTTGATGGCACTGACAGGCCTCCCCTGACAATCTTAACACCCGAGGCTTATAAAGGGAGATATCTTAGACTTCAAGCCATATAGGACTTTGTAGGTTAGAACCAGCACTTTGAATTGTGCCAGGAGATGGATCAGCAACTAGTGGAGCTGCTGTATTAGGGGAATTATGTGATCCCTGTGACCAGTTCCAGTTAACAGTTCCTTCTCCTATCCCTGTTTACACAACAGGGCTGGGTACACGTTGCCCTTTAGGCATCCTATCTGTCTGGGTTTGGGTTCTACTTCCATGCCAGCTTCTGCAGGTTGAGAGATTGGAGGGGGTGAGGGTGCCTTCCCAGCTTGTCGCTCACTGGCCTTGTGGTCTCTCTGGTCTTGTTGCAGTCCCCTCCACGAGAAGGAAGCCAAGGTGAACTCACTCCAGCAAACAGCCAGTCCCGGATGAGCACCAACATGTGAAGCTCTCTCCATCCTTGAAAGACTCTTCCTTCCTCCCCACACCCAGGGCTATGTGTCTCTCTCCAGCATCCATGCTACCACCTGTCCTGTGGTGCCTTTTTCAGACTCTCTAGGTGTGGGAGGGGCAGGACCATCAGGGGCACGACCTTTCAATGCTGGGAATTCGTCTTAGAACAGAAACTTCCATTAGTTGCAGCGTCTTCAAGAGTTATGTGAGCATGTGAGTGCTGGGAGGGGGAGGGCATCTTGTCCTTCCTCAGGGAAATTTCCCAAGCAAAGGCTTCTCTTGGCTTCCCTCAGTGGCCAGCTGAGCTTTGTGGTTTCCGTTCAGTAAAACATACACAAATACATATATAGCATGAACCTGGAGGGACAAATATGTTCTTGTAGAATTTCTCATCCATACAAATACGTTGACTCTGACCTGGCAAGCCCCTCCCGGGCAGCACCAACAGGAAGCCCAGGGTCCTTTCCATCCACTTACTACGATGCTTGTGTTTGCATTTGCCCTGGGTCAGCCTGGTTTCAATCAGTTCTTCCTGTTTTCAAAACTTCTGGTTTGCTTTTGCATCCCCTGGCCTGGTTTTGGCTGCAGTTCTTGGTGCTCCCCATCCCAGTTTATTGCTGTTGTGTATGGTGGTTTTCTAGCCTTCTTGGGAAATGGCACAGAAGGGCTGCTCTCCATATCAGGGCAGGATCTTGCCGGACTCTGCATTCCTGGCAACACTTTTTATTTATCCTTCACCCCAGAAACAAAGGTGGAGTGAGGGTTTTGATCACAGGCTAGACTCAGACTGTGTTATGTTTAAAAGCATAGTTTAAATGTTTAAATATCCAAGCAGTTCTTTCCATCTGGGTTTTATTCATTAGGCTTCATCCCAAGGACAAAGTTACCAAGTTCGACCCTAGCCCTTGACAACTCAATAGACTTTCTACAGACACTGTTATTGCTATTTAGTTTAAAACCAAGTTCTCTCCTATGCATTAAAAAGCATAATTGTAAAGATTTTTGCAGCCTTAATTGATTTTTTCTCCCCCTCTAGCACACGCATACACTGGACCTGGAAAACAAGGCAGTATTCTAGCAGAGATGTTTGAGGAAAGGCCAGGGGCATGGCATGAATGCTTCCACTTCTGGAAAACTGTGGAAGGCTGATTACTCACTTGTCAAATGGTATTAAAGTTGTATTTGCCTAAACTGGGTTTGTCGTTAAAAGCAGTCCTTAAAGTTGTCTTAGGCACTTTTGATCAGGGAGTTTGAAAATGCATCTCACAGAAAAATGTCCATTTTTATTTATGTTAATCTACATTGGAAAAATGTCAGTGGTAGGAATCTGTATTTTGGATTTTTTTAAACTATCAGTCTCAGAATTTGCCTTTTTGAGAGTCAGATCTGCTGGACCTGGGCCTTACAGACACCTGAATTGTCCTCTCCTCGAGAGAAGGTCCAGCATGTAGGCTTCCTGCTGTGGGGAGGCCTAACTTTGTGGCTGAAAAAGAAGCTTCCTCAATGGTTGCTGGAAAAATTTTCTTTTCAAACAGGAAATTAAGCTTGTCCAAGGTATGAGGCCCGCTATCTGGGCCTTCTTTTCCAGTCAGCACAGTTTAGGTGTCTGTAAGGTCTGGGTCCTTACAGGAAGAAGGGATAATTATGGGATTTGTAGTCCAAAAAACCCAAAATGCAAGTCTCTAATAAGTGGCACGGATAGATTTGTGTAGGTTTTTTAAAAAAATATAAAGAAAACAGACATTATTGCTATCTGTGTGACTTAATGTAAGAACCCTCTTGGCAGTCTAGAAAAAACCCCACATAGCATCATTCAAATTAAATTAAATTGAGCTGTGGTTCACCAAAACACTAGGCTAGGAGCAGGATGATAGAAAGAGAAACCCATTTGTTGAGGTTAAAAGGTTAATAACTACATTTTAAATCCTGAGTGAAGTAGGGTAAGGAAACCACACCTCTCATAACTTGTGTAGCTTCAGCTCTTTTTCATACAAAAGCAGAACTATCCTGGTTTTTGCATCAGGTATAAAGGAACATGATTGCACTCAACAATGAAGTATAAACTGTGAGTACCATGGCATAAAGTGACTCCTAATGAAGTTAGTGGCTTGTAATGCATCATTCATTTAGCAATCTAGGCCCACAGATAAATGATGTACAAGCAAGGATATATCAAAGAGGAGGATCTCGTCAGCTGGGTTGACTTTTCATTGGTAGTTTTTAGCTTTTACAGCAAGTTAAAAAAAAAAGCAAAGCATGCTGCTTATATACCACCTCATGGCAATTGAAGCGCTCTCTGGTGGTTTACAAGTTATTAGGATACACATTGCCCCCCGGCCTCCTGTGAGCTGGGTACTCATTTTACTGACCTCAGAAGGATGGAAAGCTGAGTCAACCTTGAGCCGGCTACCTGGGATTGAACCCTGGGTCACGAGCACAGTTTTAGCTGCAATACAGCACTTTAACCACTGTGCCACAAGGCTCATTGTGGCACAGTGGCTAATCTGGTACTGGTGAAAAATTAGTTTCAGCAAGTTGTACTGCAGTAATGTGCAGAAATGTAAATGTAAAAATTGACACACCCTCTGTCTGTGTGGGATACCACATTATCACTGGTAGGCCTTGGGTTTTTATATTTGTCAATTGCATACACTTTTAGAAAACAACTGGGTGGCTTGTTTGGATTTGTAGTCTAATTTCCTTCTTAGACTAGGGCCTACGTCCACTACTTCTGACATGCTACTGAATGGAAAAAAATGGACTGATAAATAGTGGCTTTTCTGGAATTCTTGTCTTGTGCAACTTGACTTGCTCTAGCAAAAATGTTATTAGATTTTAAAGCATCTCTCAGGATCCTGGAGAAGTCCCCCAGCATAGTCACCTCCCCCCATCTATTATCTTGCAGTCATATCTTCCTGTCTGTGGAAGTGTATTGACCCGGCTTGGCTGATGGTGTTATGTGTTCTTGTGACGAGTTTTTCTTGTTTTAACAGAAATGAAAAGCTCGTCCTTGTCAAGCAATGGAGATGGGCTCCAGTTAGCTGACCACTTTGGATAGCTTTCCATTGAAAATAATTAAAAAAGAGAAGAAATCTGGAATTTGCCCCAGCCTTTCCAAGAATCAAAAGCAAACACTTAGTGTAAAAAGACTATTAACAGCAAGAAAATGATTGGTAGTTCTGGTTGTAGTGTAACAGATTTTCTTACAGCGTCAATTCTGGAAAAACAAAATATCTATTTAAATTTAGAGTTTTAAACAGATTTTGCTGGACAATATATTCAGAACTGAGGCTCACTTGAAAAAAATCTGTATTGGAATTAGGATAGCATATTGTTCATGAGCACATCAAACTACTTTCTGGCTATGCTCTTTTCTTATTGTATTTGTATTCTGAAGTTCTTGCCCTCAGCTGATAAATTGTTCTGTTGAAATCTTGGCAGATCAATACCCAGGTTTCTTTAGGTTTGGGGCAGTTTGTTTCACTTGTGATAAAAAGCATTGTATAAATACCAAAGGGATACCCAGTGTGGTGTCGTAGATAGAATGATGGACTAGGGTGCAGGAAGCCTGGGTTTGAATTTCCACTTAGCTGTAGAAACTCACTGGGGGTGTGGAATTGCTAATACCACTCCTTAAATATCTCACTTACCTTGCAAGTCCTATTAGGGTTGCTATCTCTAGATGTTGAGCTGGATAAATGCAGTGGCAAAGCAGCTACCATGTTCTCTAGACTCACAAAAAGGGTATGGCTTAACAGAAAGCTGACAGCATATACCAAGATCCAGGTCTATAGAGATTGTGTCCTGAATACATTCCTGTACTGCAGTGAGTCCTGGACCCTTTGTGCACGGCAGGAGAGGAAGCTGAACACCTTCCATATGCGTTGTCTCTGACACATTTTTAGCATCACCTGGCAAGACAAAGTTCCAAATAGTGTAGTCCTGGAATGAGCTGGAATTGTTAGTATGTATACATTACTGAAACAGTGACGTGTACGTTGCTTGGGCATGTCGTGACAATGGCTGATGGTCAGATTCCAAAAGATCTCCTGTATGGAGAGTTAGTGCAGGGAAATCGCCCCAGAGGGAGACCACAGCTGTGATACAAGGATATTTGCAAGCGGGATCTGAAGGCCTAAGGAATGGACCTCAGCAGATGGGAAACCCTGACATCTGAGTGTTCAGCCTGGAGGCAGGCGGTGCAGCATGGCCTCTCCCATTTTGAAGAGTCACTTGTTCAGCAGGCCGAGGCAAAATGGTAGTCCCCAAACTAGCAAAATCAGGGAGCTGAATGGGACGGATTGTATTTGACTTCAGCGTGGAAGGGATTGTCACTCTCGAATTGGCCTTCTCAGCCACATTAGACGTTGTTCCAAGACTAACTTGACCCCACCTATGTTAATGCCTTGTAGTACAGTGGTGCCCCGCTGGATGATTACCCCGCTTGATGATGAATCCGCTTAACGTTGAAGTTTTTGCAATTGCAAAACAATGTTTAGATGGGGGAATTT